CAGCTGAGGGAGTACAGTTGCTGTTTTGGCAGCTCCAGCATTCAATTATGAGGCTTCAGCCTCACAGAGCTCATTTTGGAAAAGCTCTAAAGTGTCAGATCTCTTTTATTTACCTTGTAGTTTCTATGCAATTTATTTTTCAAGCTGTTCTCCAGCTGTGAGGGCTGGTTTAAATGAAATTCTTGCAGAATTGTTCCATCCAGATTTACTCTGTTTTAAAAATGCCACATAGTGAGATTTAATGTTAAAGCCCTCTGTCACTTAAGATCTTTTAAATCTTTCAGCAGTTTAATGATATGTAGGGTGATATGTAGAGTCTCCTCTTTTGGAGCATCTTGCCTTGTATGAAAAAACCCTCAACTTTCAAATTTCTATTAAATCTTTAAAACAGTCTGAGTTTGTCCATTTAGTTGAATCTATTGTTATTCTGATAGAACGCTTCAATATGGTGCTAAGGAGTGAAATCTCTTTTTGTCCATCTAGTTAAGTGTGGTATCCTAATTAATGAAACAAAAACTGGGAGATTTCGGATAACTCATGACAGAATATTTGTGATAGAGTGGGACTTCTCAATAGAGAAAATAGGTTTAATAATCTATTGAGTTTATAGGTTTACCACTGCATTAAGTGGCACAAGTATTGATTCTGATATTTTAAAACCATTTCTTCACTCTCTAGCTAGTCTAGAATATAAATGCTGAATTGCATGCAATTCTTACAATGCCACGTAAATTGGGGTTTCTTTGACCTATACTTCTTATTACAAAACTTCAGAAAGCTTTTATTTAATAGTTTCTATGGTTTTCTTCGAGTTAAGTACTTTGAATAAGGATATGAAAGTTTCTGAGAGAACATTTTCTTCCCCTATCAAAAAGAGCTGCTGTTGGATAAGGTAGGGAGAAATTGGAAAACTTAGAACTTCCTCCCCCCCAAATGTAAAATGAATCTATCGACAGTACCTCGAGCACTACACTCCGGTGTATTTCTTGAAATTGCTTTCTCTATAGACTAATATTATTCTGGGTTATTAATTTAAAAGCTTTGAAACTTGCAGTTTCTATTCACTGTTGTTTTGCTGTTTTTTTTTTTTAAGTAGTGCTTGATCAGATGACTATACAGAAAACTGATATATTTAAAAAACTTTTTGTGAGAATGATGAATATTTCAGTGTCCACATAAGAGCCTGGTGTTGTAATGAAGATAAACAATTTCGGTTTACAATTTTGAAAAAAAGGGGGAGGGGGGGGAAGAAGGATGTTTTCTGTTTGCAACATTGAAATTTCTTGGGTTTGAACATGAGCATTCAAATATATTTGGTAATCTTACTATGTAGTATAATTCAGTTTTTGATCCTGAATATATTTATCATTATTCAAAAATAATTTATTTACAGTTATCTCTATATTGACTTAAGGTTTTCATGCTATGCTGGTAAAAAAAAAGTGACTAAAGCTCATGCTGAATAAGTAGTGAAATACAGTTCTACTTTTCAATTTCTTTTTTTCACGTGAGTAAGGAAAGTCTGTCTTTCCCTCCAAATTTCTAGATGTATTATGCTTTTCTACTGATTCTGATGCCCCATATAAATACAAAATCCAGCCTCCAAATACAGGTTTCAAACGAAGGCTAGCAAAGTGCTCTTACTGTCTGTCATCTCAGCTGTACTGAGATGAATTCAGAGATCAGATTTTTTAAACCTCGGGACTTTTAAGGAGCAGCTATTAAGCTTTCCTCCCTGTATTCTCTTTCCTGCAGTACTTGGGACATGTCGAAGTGGATGAATCCAGAGGAATGCATATCTGTGAAGATGCTGTGAAGAGACTGAAATCTGTACGTATATTTGTTTCATAAAAAAGTTGGCTTTGGGGCTGTGAGCATTACTGGAAAATGTCCATTCGGCAGCAGTGCCCCAACTAAAGACTGAACTTTTGACCCATGCTAGGAGAACAGTTGGCCGGTTTGAGAGCGCTGCTGTGGTTAGGGGGACATGCTAATCTGATGATGAGAGGGAGAGAGTTACAACTGTTCTTTCTCCTTGCAGAAACTATTTGCAAAACAAATGTGTAAAAATCCTCTGTGACCCTTGAGACTAAGTTGGTACCCACATGGGACTTCAGCCATTGTTTTTTAACAGTTCTTTTCCCCTCTCTCTTTTCCTCTCCCTCTCTCTCTCCCTCTGTTGCCTGCCACTTTAATAGTGACTTAATCCACCATTATTATACAAAATATTACTTGATGTAGGCTGCTTTTTTCTAATGCACTGCAACATTGTAGTCACGCATGAAATAATCTGGCTTGCATCTGCTCAAAGTGGCCTGAAGGCTGCCTAATTCTGATGTGTCATGAAGTGGGCTGCTCTTAGTTTGGCTTCTGTGAACGTTTGCTCCTGTAAATGGCACTCGTTCAAAGCTCTTTCTATTTCTGTGGCTCATTTGAAGAGGTCTTGTCCTCTCTTTCCTGCAATAGTAATATCACAAAATCCTGTGGAAATAGCAAACTCCAGAAAGGCAGTGATCAGTCTGTCAAGGAACTGAGGCTAAAACAGCATTGAAGAGAACAGAAGGAGAAAGGACATTTAAATTTGAAGTCTGAACGGAGACAGAGAACTGCAGTCCTTTTCATCACTTCTCTTTATGTGTTTTAGCTGTACACATTCTTCAGTGATGCCTCTAGTGGAAGAAACTCTTGTATCCTTGTAGCTCAACAAAATTACTGAAAGTACATCAAACACTTCTACTGCACCTTTGCTAACTTAAGTTATCTGCTACTGGACATAGGTTTTTTTCCTCACCAAATGTGAGAGCTCAAATGGCTCGCAACTAAACCGGTTCTTCCCTTCTTCCTAGCACAAACAGAGGATTATAGGTTAACCTTTCTTCCTTCTGTTGTGCTGTAAAGTTTCTGAATTGGTTTAGCGCTCTGATTAAAATGAAGTCTTTTCATTCTTTTCTCTCTCAGTATAGCAACCTGTTAAAGCTGCATCCCATCTGTTCCCGTTCAGTCCAACAGTGATTGGTGATTGATTTTTATTAAAAAGGGCCACACAAAATATAAATGAGTTTCTTTGTTCTATGGATTTAGTTTACGTAGCTAAAAGTGCAAGTACTGACCACATAATGAATTGCATCCGTTTTTGTTTCGTTCTGGTTTTTGTGCTATCAGAATACTTTCTATTAGCACACCAAATAACCTTGCAGTATCTATTTTATGCAACTTCTCTCATTCTCTTCTCTGGGGAGCTATGCTGTGAAGTATTTGTTCTCTAGTTTTTTTTATAAACTTGAAGCCCACAAGCCAGTTAAGTGTAGCTAAGCTTATAAATAATGAGACCCAGTAAAAGCATAGTGCCCAGTTTCTGCTGGAATCTGGATAATTCCGGGATTGTGATTCTTGATCACCTGAATTATTGACTCAAATATCAGACTTGGATACCTAACTTTTACAATGCATTCTCTGGAAGTAAATAATTTCATTTCTCTATTCTGTGCTATGTCATTGTTCTAAATTGTGAACGGCATCAATTTACCCGTTCTCATAAATTCAACATTTTTCTTCAGATAATTTTGATTTCTTCTGCTGTTTGAAGTTTTTGACGTCTATATAAAAATTACACACAAGCACATGTCGCTTAAGATTGCTATTTGCATTGTCTCCTTTGTCAGTGTTGGAAGTTGAGAAGCAGGGGTGAAATTCTCATTGGGCCCCAAAAGAAAGATTCAGATTACTGAAAGTACTTTGTAGGCTTTAGTTGATAGACTCCATCAGATCCAAGGTTCATTCGGAGCTGCTCACTGCAATTCAACCCCTGCCCCCCCACCCCGAGCCTGTAGGCTTTAAACTGGGGGCATTGCTTTAGGACTCTACTGTTACTGAAAGCTCTTTTCTGTACAATATGCTCTCTTAATTAGCAAAAGCCAAACTGCTGGATGATGTTTCAGCATTCAAGGAATGATAAGAAAACAGTTTGTTCTTTTGGTAGTCTCTTGCTTCCACAGTGCGTGGTTATTTTGATGGGCTTTCTCTTGATCTTGAAAGAATTACAAGTTTGAGCTGCAGTGCTCAAACTGAAAGACTAGCTTAAGGGAAATGGGACTTCACTTTTCATATGGTTAAACCACATCAAAATGTATGTGGCCTATTTTAATCTTTACAGTTTTCTTTGCAGGTAATGTGTAGGTTTTATAAATCCAGTCAATAAATAATAGTTCTGTTCTCTTAGACAGAATTGTTGAATACTTGTATCTTGTAGCTTCTAAAAATGAAGTTCTGTCTGTCTTTCCTTATTTTTCGTAGATATATTTTTTTTCTCTTAATTCTTGTTCTCCAACAGTTGGCAATTCATTTGGGGAACTGAAGTCTGTTCTTTTTTAGGGTTGACTAATGGATTTTAAAACACTTTATGGGATTTGTCAAGAAGAATATAGAGCAGTGTTAATCTTGGTTTAGGAATAGCTTAATTTCTGCTTTGCTTTTTAAAAGAAAAGATGCAAACAAATCTTTCTCTTTATTGTGGGAAATAACCTTTCAGGGTTTTTTTTATTACCTGCTCGTTTAATGTGGCGTAATTGTTTTTGAGCTCTGCATCTTGCAGAACTTGAAACCAGATGATGGCGAGCATTTTATTCAGGTATTGTTTAATTGACAACTGAGTAAAAGAAGCCACTTTTAGCTAGAGAATCCCTCATCCATACTGTATTCTGTTGTTATAGCTTTATAGCTCTGAAATTGCACACCAACAATGCTATAATGTGCAGGTTATAATATTGTCTAGAATGAATGAAGACAAACTTGAGTTATGTCCCTGTTTTCTGTCTGATGAAATGGCACCACAGTCTCATGAATAGATCAGAAACCCAGGTATTCAGCTATCAGTCTATTATTAACATGGGTTTATATTACCAATGGAGCTTGCATTTTTCCCTTAGTAGGATATTACCAATGTAGCTTACATTTTTTCCCTTAATAGGGATATATTACTAACTGTGTATACACTTTGTATCTGGTAGGATCCTTGTATTTGGACACTAAGCACTAAATGGCTTCTTCAGAACCATTTCACTGAAGCTAAAATATTTAGCGCAAACTGGAAAAAACTTTGTAAGGGCCCTGTAAGTGTATTTGATTCACGTACGGGAATATCATATAAAGACAAAAGTATACTCTCTCATGTCATGTTTTGATTTTAAATCAGCTTTAGCGTGTAGTATTGGTTTCTAACTTGCCACTTTTTGTTTTAAATGATGCATTTGTTTTAATATATGTTCTTGTTTTAGCAGGTAAAGAGGCATAATTTAATATTTTAAAACATGCATTAGTTATTTCTAAACTACATTAACTTAGTGTTGTTTAAAACCCGTTTTGCATGATGCCTTTTCCATTAACCTTTCCTAGTTTGTTAAAAAAATAACCTTGTTTAACAAGCATTTTGCTGAGAGCAAAATTAACCATCACCTAAAAATGAGGTAGCTTCTGGTGAATCTCTTTAGCTTTTGCTATCTTTAAAAAGCTGTTATTTAGTGTAATGCAATAGTCATTGCTCAACTTGGCAGCAGCATCCAACCCCTTCTCATTATGTACACAACACTGTGATTAATCCATTAGTTCCCCTCCTAGTGTTCAGCATATCCTGTCCAAATACATAACCGTTCCTGCCTCTAAAAATTGTTAAGCTTTTCAGCTGACTGAACTTAGAGATGTTCTTTTATACAGCATCTGAGTTGACATAAATATGTTACAGATACTCGGTAAAAAGCTCTGTGGAAGGACGTCGGGCAGGGAGGCGCACAGCAGCAGAAATCAGGAAATGCAAAGTCGAGATTGACACTCCCTTCTTAACTTTGTGTTTCCTGGCTTTTGTTGGCCTGCGTCAGAACCATAGCTTTGTTTTAAATACAACCTTGTTTATCAATCAATTCTTGAGACACTGCCTCAGGATATTTGTAATAATATTTTTAATATAGTATTGTTATCTGTGATCAACATGTTGGAATTGCACAGTGTTAATTTGGGGTCGGGGACAGTCACAAAGATGCTCGCTGTCTCATCTGCAATTCTCCACCTCCTCCCCGTTACTGCTATACCACAGGTTTTTTTCTTACAAGCGAAACAATTTGGAAAGATAGCAGGAACAGTGATACGCTTCGTGCCAGTGTCCCTCAACTGTGGAGCAGCATGTGGCTGCGCTCACAGAGCACCAGGCCTGGTGAAGTGTTCCCTCAGGAGAGCAGTTCAGATCTTGCAGTTTTCTTTTCACAGTCTGGTAACAAAATACAGCCAGTAAACTAAACTGCACGCAAATATGCTTAAAATCATGTGCTGCCTTTTTCTTAATGTGAATTGGGCAATCAGTGTAATTGCTTCCAGGCTGAAGAAATTTAGGAAGTTGTACTTCAGCTCTTGGTATCTTTGCGCTTGCCTAACTGTCCAGCCCTGTCTGAGATGACTTTAAAGGGGTCTTGTTCAACCTATCAATTCAGAGCTGTAGAATGAATATCTAGTATTTGTGTCAATATTGTATAAAGCCTTGGAAGGCCTCAGAGAGAGTGAAAGAGGAAGGGATGTCATTTGTGGTTTAGTTGTACCACAAGGTAAGATGAAATTCCTCACTCTTCAGAGAAGACTGCATAAGATGTGAAGTGTAAGAGTAGCATGTAAACCAAAGCAACAAATAAACGGAATAAAATGAAGCAGTGTTTAACCCTGCTTTATACCAGCCACACATGCTTTAAAGAGTGATCAATACAGAGCAAACTTTTCTGTAATTCTGAAGACAGAACTTTGCATTTCACAAGAACCTGCACAGTATTTTGGTTGTTTAACCACCATGTCTGCTGCCAAGTTTGATTTATAATCTAACTAAAAGGGACTAAACAAGGGAGAGTGAAAATAAAGTAACCACTTTGCATGAAATTGGGGCTGAGGTTCTCTTCTTTCCACCAATTTCAGGGCAATAGCTTGTTAGAATTGTGTGCGTGCCCTTTGATCTGCGTTTTCATGGGATTATTTTCACATTTGCCTGTCGCACCTTCTCATGGATAACTCTAAAAACCCCTTCCTTTCCTTCCAAACCCTATTCTTGTGTGTGCTTGTTGGTTTGAAACCCTGGGACATTTTAGCTACCTACAGTAATAGCGCTCGACTTGTCCCCCCTGTTCCTCCAGGAAAGGAAGTTCTTCAAAGGCTTCTTTGGAAAAGTAAGTTTAATGCCTCATTTGTGCTTGCACTATAAGGAGTTACATCCCTGGTATAGCACTGCCATAAAATCAGGGTGTTGAGAGTCCACTAATCCATTTCAGAATATTTGCTTCTAAAACAGACTTGGAAATATGCTTTTTTTAACCATATTCGTTGTTTGATCAACAATCTGAAACTTAAATCTGTGCGGAGTGTATCGGAAATCCAGTGTTCTGAAGTGATTTGGTCTTCCTGAAAAAAATGTGATTTGTCCTTTTAAACACTTAAACTTGTGCTGGCCTACATCACCTGGGCAAATATCTACAGAGCAGGTGGGGTCTGTGCCTTGTAAGTGCTTCGTGATCGGCTGCCTGGCACCATGAGTTGACCCAAATGCTAGTGTGCCTATGCATACTATCTCTTAAACCTTTCTTTTTTGGGCACAGTTCTAATTCAAAGGTATGTGAAGATGAGACCAGGCATTTATCTACTATGTTTTTCTATTTGCAACTCAACTGTATAACTGAAAAACTTACTGTTTCTATCATTGCTCTTGTTTTCATGAGGACAGTGTCTTAGGCGCGAAGTGAAGCAACTGTTTGTCCTTATTAAGAATGTGCTGTACTGGCAGCTGGGTG